GGGCTCTACAGATGTTATCTGGGGTTTCCCAGTTAGTTAGGAGGAAGAACAGACCAAAGATGCTTTGCTGAGGTCTTCCTATGCCTGGCTCCCTCAGACCAGGTTTCTCCCTTTAAGAGGCTCAGATCAGAGAGAGATGTCACTGGGGCAGGGTGGAGGTGTGGATGAAACTGAGAAAGAGCCAGGGAAGAGTCCAGATAAAGCAGAGTGAGATTCTCACCGTGGGTTACTTGCTTTTAGAAAAGCTGACATTTTTGTAGCTGCCTAGTAGTTTAGTCTGGGATTTCAAAGCTATCAAAATTTCAGTGGGAGCTGGGCACCTAACTCCCTTCATCTCCATGGAAACTCCTAGCCTAAAGTGCCTGAAATGTTCAAATGTCTGACAGGGATTGAGGTGCAACCCATGCTAACCTAGTGTGTGTCTTTGTCTCTTCGATTGGCTTCAGCAAGGACAGAGATTTTTAGCAGCAGACCTAACAGCTGTGGTCAGTTAGTTCAGCCAGTAGACACTCAGGCTTTTACATCAAGATGTCTTGAGTTCAGTCCTTGGACATATCCCCCTTAACCTCCACACCTTAAAAGCTGCACCAAAGTAGGGAGTCTCTGAGGTCTGCAGGATGGTGGTGGGCAATGCCCCTCTGCCAATTTCACTACCTTTCCCCGAAGTTATCCACCACTTCATCATTGTTCCCTGAGTGCATCACAGAGTATTGACCTTCACAGCCCTCTTGCCAAGCTGGGGAGCTGAAGAATTACACCTATTTCAGAAAGGGAAACTGAGGCACAGTGATTTTCACAGAGGCTGTGATTTTCAAAGGACACTGGAGAGGTTAGGAATTCACTGATCAATGGGAAGATCAAGGGGAATTGGTCACATAACTCCCTTATTCTCCTTGGAAAATCCTAGACAAGGCAGGGATGTGAGTTATCCATGGGCACAAAGATTGTCTGTGGCACAGGACAGAAATTGGACCTCGCTCCCAAAGGCCAGTGGCTTACCCACAAAGCCATTCTCCCCCATTGCTCACAGCAGCATCCCACTCTCCTTTAAAGCTGGCTGATATTCTTTTACAGAAACAGACGCATAAATAAATTTTGAATTTTTATATTTTCAAGTGGGCAAAAAAGCCATTTTTCTCACCTTCTCACACTTTTTTTCTCCTCTTCCTTCCCCTGCCCCCATTTTTCCAAATAGCAAATTAAAAATAGGAGAGAAAATGCCTGGGAGGATATGGAAAACAGAAAACCAAACAAAGAAAACTAGAATGTTGTTTTTTTTTCAAAAGCCAAATCAAAATGAAAATCTCAGTACGAATGGAATCAAAATAAAAATTGGGCAGGAAAAGCAATGAAATGAACATTATCATTTTGTTTCATTAAAAAAAAATTCCCTGTGAAAAAAGTTTGAACCAAAAATATCAGTTTTTTCCCTTCAAAGATGTTGCTGGAAATAATGGCTTTTTCAAGCAGCTCTAGAGATTTTCCAAATGTTTAATGGTGGGTAAGCAAACCACGCCTCTTCACTCCCAAGCTACTCGCAGACTCCCAGTCAGTACTTTCCCCTGGTATTGAAATTAGAGGGGGTGTTCAGATTTACAGTGTTGGCTGGACGAAATTGACTACACAGCATGTAACTAGTTGACTACTGCGGGGGGATGGGAAAGTTCGGGGTGTGTGAGTAGAGAAATCCCTGGTAGGCTTACCATAATTAAAAAATAAAAAGAGAGGACACTCCACGGACCCTGGCCCCGCCCCTTTCCCACCCCCGGCCCCGCCCAACTCCGCCCCTTCCCCGCCCCAACTCCACCCATTCCCCGCCCCTTCCCCAAAGTCCCCGCCCTAACTCCCCCTCCTCCCTCCCAGCCACACGAAAAGGACTGCCCGAGCGCTACTGGCTTAACGGTTTTCCGGGCAGCCTCCAGACCCTGCGCCCCCAGTCGGCGCCTCCCCAGCGCAGCTGGAGCCCGGGAGGGGAAGCGCCCAGCCGGGGGCGCAGGGTCTGGAGGTTGCCCGGCAAACCTTGAAGCCGGTAGCACTCGGGCTTCGGGCAGCCCCCATGCCTCTGGACCCTGCGCCCCCGGCCGGGCACTTCCCCTCCCAGGCTCCGGCGGCTGTGCTCCTCCCCTGACTCTTTGGCTCTGTTTAAGAGCTGAGCTTCCCGAGCGCTCCGGCTTCGGGCAGCCCCCATGCCTCCGGACCCCGAGCCGCCGGCCGGGCACTTCTCCTCCCGGGCTCCAGCTGCTCTGCTCCTCCCCTGACTCTTCGGTTCTGTTTAAGAGCCGAGCTGCCCGAGTGCTCCGGCTTTGGGCAGCCCCCATGCCTCCGGACCCCGTGCCTCCGGACCCCGAGCTGCTGGCCGGGCACTTCCCTTCCTGGGCTCCAGCTGCTCTGCTCCGGCGGCTCGGGGTCCGGAGGCATGGGGGCTGCCCAAAGCCGGAGCACTCGGGCA